AATTGAAGTACGATGTTTAGATAGAAACTTCATCCCCAAAATAATATCAAAATCATGAACATCGAGTGGAATTAGATCTGTTTTCAACTCATAATTGTTCACTCTAATCCCACAAGTATACCCAATTAGCTAAAAGTGAATCTCCCACGGGAGTCGCTACTACCAATTCATTGTCTAAAGGATCTGACATCTAACCAACATAGCTAGCAAGTGCATGAGAAATAAACGAATGTGTATCACCCAAATCAATTAAAGAATGAGCATTCTATCAAAAATAGATAACATACCCACAACTACATTTGGTGACTCATCTGCCTCATGTTGAGTCATAACAAACACTTTGCCCTGATTCTTGGATCGACCCGCCTGGCTCCTTGTCTAGAAGTACTGTCCCTAGTAACATTAGGTTGTGTACCCCCCGTTGACCCTGCTGATGTAGCTCTCTGATCCCGATTCTATCTTGTTGTACTGATCGGGGCTGAGAAAATACTATCTGAGATGCTTCAATCTGTTGAGATCTGGCTGGAGAATCTTTCCTCGTATGTCCCATTTGACCACACTGGTAACAAACTCTAGCTCATCTAAGATACTCGCCTGGATGAAATCTTTCACAAGATTGGCACTATGAAAAGCTACTGTGATCAAAACCCTCATTCTGCCTCGCTCCCTGAAATCTCTAAGTAAAACCCTGAACATGAGAATGACTCTCCACCGACTGCTATACAGAACTCTGACTATGGCCTGATCCCTGACTAGACCCAGAACTCCGAGACGTAGATTTAAAACCGCCAAAGTTAGTGACACCTGGCCAAAATCTTTTTATGTTCTTCTTGGACCTTCTTCTGAAGTTCTTATCTGACTGCTACCACCTTGGAAGGTCATCTGTGCTTCTAGATTACGTCATTCTCGAATAGATGTCTCAACCCTTAATGCTACCTCTACCAACATACCGAAATACCGAAATTTTGATGCCCACGAACAGTAACCATAGGCCGGATATCTGCTCTCAATTCTTGCTCGAACCGTCTATACCTATCTCTCTCCTTAGCAGCCAAAGCATTGCATACTTGGACAGTTCTACAAACTTTACGTGGTATTCAGAAGCCGAAGACCCCTGAACCAATCCTAAAAACTCATTTTGTCTTGCATCATGATAAAATGGAGGATAGTATGTTTTATAGAACGCCTCCCTGAAAATAGTCCAGGTGATAACACTAGGATCTAGATATCGACATCGAAACGAAACCCACCAATTAGCAGCTCCTCCATTCAATAAAAATACAGCAAGGCGTAATTTCTTATCCTCTGAATATTCTATCACATCAAATATACTCTCCAAAGTCTTCATCTAGAGTTCAGCATCAACTAGACTAGATGTACCTATAAAAAATTTCACCCCAAGTTTCATAGCCTTCTCGATAGAGTTATCTTTGTCGGCATTGGGTAGAAAGGAAACAATAACCGTAACTATTCTGTCGATGATAGGGTCAGGTTGCACCTGAGACTGGTAAACTAATTCTGCGACCCCACTGGCCCTTCCAACATGTCCTCCCTCAAGAGCATCAAGCGGCCCCACGGCCCCCCCCCAACATGTCCTCCCTCAGGAGCATCATGAGCTTGAGATACTGGATTTTGACACCTGCGAGTTCTGCCACCACCACGCATGACTAACCTACAATAATGTATGATATATGAACATCAGATACGTGCAGTGTTACCTATAAACTCTAAGACCATGCTCTGATATCAATTGACACGACCTTGTCTCAGTCACCCTAGTGGACCCAGACGTGGTGTGTGCAATGGTAAATTCCAGCTAGATGTTGGACCTACAACCAAGACCATATAGACTGGTCTACGACTGGTTGACTATTTTAAGACTACAATATTTTTGTAGAAATTTTGACCGAGTTTCTCCTGTGAATTAGACAAAACCAACCTGGAAATCAACAAAAACCTCATATAGACATTTATGCCAAATATTTTGGGAACCACCAGTTCTACTAATACCACCACAACTAAATCAAAATGAAAATAAACTCGACTAAGCACTTCCACCACAAAACATCATTTCTACATGCATACATTACATCAATTGTAACAACCTATTGATGAAATGCACATCAAACAACATATTAGACCAAATGTTTAATAAACATGGGTCCGCAACTATACATTATATGCTATGATATGGTTGAGATCACGCAACTAAATGATGGGTAACCAGGCTCTTGGCTTCAGCAGGCTTTCCAGATATCTCAAATTTAGTGGCATCCTGATAGGAAAAACATGATAAAATATATGAGCTTGTAATTCAGTGAATGGATAGTTCGCAAATACATATACTCTTTCATTTATACATATTTACTGAAAAATCTAATTTATTTTCTTATAGCTTTAAAAAATTCTAAATTCTGATAATTTCTTTTAGAAATGAAACATGCTAAAATCATAAAATTCTTATTTTTTATTCTGAATAACCAACCGTAAAATATGCCAAGTATAGATAATCTGGTTTCAACAAAAATCTGTGTAAAGCTGTCATTACTGTAAGTTAAAATCGTATTTCTGTAACTGAATAATCTGCATTCTATATTCTGAAATAAACTATTATCTGATATTTGAAGTTCTGTGAATCTAAAACTGAATGAATATAAATGATATACTAAATAATCACACCAAGAAGTACCCAATGAATAGCCTTACTCATGTACAGAGTAATCTCGATGTACAAGGCAAAACCATTCAAATCTGATAAACTGGTCATACGTACGCAGAGCTACCCCAAAGGCTAATCACCCTAATACACGGCCCAAAGCATATATGTGTACGAGAGTGGGTCCTAAAGATCTCTGATAATCTGGTCATACACCGTGGAAACACATTCACATCAGTGCAGAGCGGGTAAAATCACATGGGTACTTTCCGATGGTTTTAAAATANAGGGTAAAATCACATATGTACTTTCTGGTGATCTTTTAAAATAACTTTAGATAAGCTGAAATATATAATATGAATATAATATGCTAGAAAAATTATTTAAATGAACTGAATTTAACTTTAAAAGAACTAACAATAAAATCCTTTTGATTCTGAAAATCATGCTATCAAATCAAATATATGAAATAATTAACTTTCTGATATAGTATAAATTTAATAACTATTTATTTCTGAAAAATAAGCTTTTCACTCATAAAGAGCAAGCTAAGAGTTAGACTGGCTGATAAATGTTTCTAATCTCCTCGTCACCAATTTAACCGCTATCAAATCAAGAAACCTTTAACATCTAATGCTATAATACTTAAACTAAATTTCTCGATACTTGAATAAATCTCCCAAATTATTCATTTAATCAATCGGAATTAATTACTAATAACTAATATATCAAGATAACCTTCATTTCAAACATAAATGTAACTACCCACTTCAATCTAGTGACAACTAGTAACTATAATTCAACAAATTAAATTTTCATCTTGTTCCATAAATTCATACTTCCAAGTAAGTATTTCATTATCAGAATCATTTTCACCAAATATCCTTCATTCAAGAACCCAAATAAAAATTCTAGGGTTTGCCAAAAATGGGATTTCTTACCTTAATGTAAATGGAAGGTAATCAATCAAGAAACTTGAACTAACAATAGTACTCCTTCAACTTAATCTGAAAATTAAACTAACAAATTAAAACCCTATAAATCCAACATAAATTATTCATTTAGCTCTTGAATGAATAGATATATCAAACCAAAGATTAAGAAAAACAACACTTACTCCTTCTTCTTCCCTTTTCCCTTCTTTTTCTTCTTCTTTTTCTTTCTCTTTTTTATTTCTTTTTCCCCTCTTTTTCGGTCTCTGTTTCCATTTCCCAGCTTCTGTTTCTATCTTCAGCCTCTGTTTTGGTTTTTAGCCTCGTGTGTGTGTGGAAAAATGAGAAATGGGTTTAAAATAACCAAGTTAGACGAGCTTTTGCAAAGGAAGTCCCTTAACTTCCAATGATATTTATGTAGGAATTTGTGAAAAGGATTATCAACCAAAAACATTATCAAACCCTAATCACATGCATAAATATACACCATGTTGAAATCAAAGAGAAGAAAAGGTGGAAGCATACCTTGATCCATGTGTTTGATAGCTTAAATGGGTTAGATTCTTCCAATTGATACGTAGTCTCCTTCTGAATTTTCTCTCTATTGATGGGAATGCAGAGATATAAAAAAACCATGTACAATTGGGAACCATAACCCATGAAATAATAACTGAATATGCAGTTATTATCTTTCAGTTATTCCAAATTGGCCCCTCATCAATCAAGAACAACTATTCTGGTCTCTACACTTTATTTCCATGACATTTAATACCCACTGGTCCAAAACTAATTTTACTGGATCACTTGATTGACTAATTTTTAAGATAGTACCACACATTTTAATATATATACATGTGTGGCCCCATATGTTGGAATTTTTCCAACAATCTCCCACTGGACCATACATGTAATCTTACAAATGTGTACAATCTTATGAACTCAAAATTATGCTATCATTATTATGGGTATTTCCAAACAATCTCGTCCATCTGTTATATTGATATAGGATCAAAGCGATTTTCGTCACATTTAGAGTGACCAAATCCATCAATGGTCACGTACACCCATACAACCAAATGATATAGATCAATCATGGGAGTGTAGCATGAAATTTACATGTTATGTAATCCAAACATGTCTATTTCCAACTGGTCCAACCTTATTTCTTAAGTAAGATCAATGCTGAACTTAACAATAAAGTGAAATGAACCGAATACTTTATTTTTGTACAAAGAAATATCCAAATACACAAATGTGTCCAAAACATAAAACAATGAGAATATAAACTCCCACTAAAATATGATATTCTTATGAAATACAACACTCATACGAGCAGTGTGCTCATAAAAAAACCTTGGGTGGCAATCCCTTAGTAGGCGGATCCGCAATCATGGAGTTTGTCCCAATGTGTTCTATGGAAACTGTCCACTTTGTACTCTTTCCTTCATAACCAAAAACTTAATTTCAATGTGTTTTGATTTAGATGAGCTCCTGTTGTTATTGGAATATATAGCTGCTGAGTTATTGTCACAATATAACTTTAGCGGTTTTTCTACGCCATTCAGAATGTGTAGCCCAGTGATAAAATTTCGTAGCCATATTCCATGGTTAGATACCTCATAGCATGCTACAAACTCTGCTGCTATGGTAGAAGAAGCTGTGAGTGTCTGATTGGTACTCTTCCAGGAAATAGCTCCTCCAACTAGTAGATAGATATAGCATGATGTGGATCTCCTACTATCTTGACATCCAGTAAAATCAGAATCGAAGTACCATATGATCTCTAACTGATCCAATCTGATATATGTGAGCATATAATCCTTTGTTCTCTTCAAATACCTCATAATCATTTTGGCTACTTTCTAATGATCCATCTTATGGTTGAATCAAATATCTGCTTGACATTCCAACAATGAATGCTATGTCTGGACGTGTACAAATTTGAGCATACATTAGACTCTCAACAACTGATGCATAGGGAATCTTCTGCATTTCCTTAACTTCAAGGTCATTTTGCGGGCAGTGTTTGTCTCCCTTAGCAATAGGGGTGTCATCTGATTTACAGCCTTCATGCCAAACCTCTTAAGTACTTTATCGATATAGCTCTTTTGTAGCAATCCAAGAATACCTCAAGAACGATCTCGGTATATCTGAATCTCTAATAGAAAAGAGGTGTCACCAAGATCTTTCATCTCAAAATTCCTTGATAAAAATCTCTTGGTTTCGTACAACATGCCTATATCATTAGTGACAAGCAATATATCATCAACATATAAAACCAGGAAAATATGCTTACTCACACTGAACTTGTGATACACACAATCTTCGACAGCATTCATCTTAAAACCAAATGAGATAATTACTTGATGAAATTTGTAGTACCATTGACGGGAAGTTTGCTTTAGCCCATAGATGAATTTTTTTAATTTGCAAACCATATTCTTCGAGTCTTCTGACATAATNATACCTTATAGCATGCTACAAACTCAACTGCCATGGTAGAAGAAGCTATGAGTGTCTTGAAATTTTTTCAGGAAATAGCTTTTCCAACTAGTAGATAGATATAGCATGATGTGGATCTCCTACTATCTTGACATCCAGTAAAATCAGAATCGAAGTACCATATGATCTCTAACTGATCCAATCTGATATATGTGAGCATATAATCCTTTGTTCTCTTCAAATACCTCATAATCATTTTGGCTACTTTCTAATGATCCATCTTATGGTTGAATCAAATATCTGCTTGACATTCCAACAATGAATGCTATGTCTGGACGTGTACAAATTTGAGCATACATTAGACTCTCAACAACTGATGCATAGGGAATCTTCTGCATTTCCTTAACTTCAAGGTTATTTTTCGGGCATTGTTTGAGACTAAATTTGTCTCCCTTAGCGACAGGGGTGTCACCTGATTTACAGTCTTGCATGCCAAATCTCTTAAGTACTTTATCGATATAGC